AACTAAAAAAAGATAACTGTAGCATGAATCCATAAAACAAAATATTTAAAAATTAAGTCAAAGCCATAAATATCCTTGTTAACTGTGTTTTGTTAGTCAATAACTCTTTAAAAAGTCCCATAACTAAGAGTCTAATAACCTTCTAAACCATACTATAACAACAGAAACCAAACTCACCCTTCCTACCTATGTAAAAAATAAGGAAAATAAACCACATGATCTAAAAAACTCAACAAGTGCCATCTCTAACTTACCCAAAACTCCTTCAAAAATCCCCACAGGGACATTGTGCCTTTTGCTTCCCAGTCATCTTCCCTGCCTTTGAAGGACAAGTGGAAAGTTCCTTTTCTTGAAATACAGATTTGAATTAAAAATATCAGTGTGTCCATCATATTAAAAACTTTTTCCCTTAGTAGTTTATGTTTTTTCACCATTTAAGGTAAATTAATTATTTCAAAGTATTCGTTAACACCATTTAAGGTGCCTGCTCTCACAGAATTTCTTATGTGGGAGGCAGCGTGGAAAAAAGAAATCCTTGCAAAGGTAAATTATTAATTTCAAAGTATTTGATAAAATTTGGAAACATCCCCTTTGTTCCTAAATTTATGCAGATTCCCACATAAAATCCTGTGTCAAAATCAGGTTCTGTGCATGAATAGCAGCACTCCAAAAATCCTGGGTACAACAATGTGTCAGTGTAATAAATTATGATTTTAAGAGAGAGATTTGCTGCAAAACTTTAAAATTTCAGTGTTAATCATGAGACTTCTCATCCCTGGACTTGGCTTTACACAGTGTGAGTAGCCTGAATATTTATTTACTTTACACCTTTTATAAAAGCCCTAATTTAGGGAAAGCTTTCACCAGAATTTGTGCTTTTTCAAGTAAAAACCACCGATGGTACAAATCTGTGAGAAAGGAGCTTCATTCAGTGCTCCCAGAGCACCTGTCCAACACTTGGATAAATAACTCTGGATGAGGATCCTGATGTGAGAAATTAAAATGCTGATTTTTTCATTCTCTGCCAAGGAGTTTCAAGCGCTGCCTTTATTTTACTCCTCGTTTTTGACAGTTGACAGTTTTACTTCATGCTGGATTCAGGCGTATTTGTCTAAATTAAATGTTCCTGCCAGCAAATTTAAACCTTGGAGAAAATGTCTTTTTTTGGGTCTTTTTCCCTCCTGTAAATCTACTTTGGTAAATATTTGTACAGATGCTGTTTCAGAGAGCACTGCTGCTCTTGGAGACATTGAAAACCTTTGTTATAATTTGTGTTTTTCTCTAAATATTGCACATCACAAAAGCTGTGCAGCAGTGCAAATCATGCCAGAAAATACAATTATTGCCACAGTGCAGGTGTGTTTATTTATTTGTGCTGTTTGATCACATGTGGGCTGGCAGAGACTGCAAGAAATTCAATTTCTAAGAGTTTTTCTGCTATAAATTGATTTTAGATACATCATTCAGGACCCCCAGGAAGGATTTTTTAATGCATCTGTTAATTAGCAATGATACCCAATTAGATACTAAATAGAATCCTGATTTTGGTGTGGTTTACATCTAAATTAAAGATTGTTCAGTAGCAACAGCTATTGTAAAATAATAATAATAATAATTTAATAATAATCTGAGCTAAATTAAAGGCCTACCAAAGCTTATGAAATAGACTTCAAAGTAATTTATTTGAAAAAAATAACATTTCAAAAGCTGTTTACATCTAACTGTATCACATCTAAAGACACCACAGCACATAAAACAGTCTTTGAGGCAACCTAGATAATAAAACAGGAGGAAAATCAAAAGTTCTGATTTGTAAAAGATCTCAATAGTAGAATTTTATTCCCTGAAGCACAAAAGGCTGGATGACCTTGTCCTGTATCCCCTTCCCAAACATGGAACTTGGAATGAAGGTCACATTTCAGATCTCAATAATGCATTGTTGTTGTTGTTATTAATATTTTCTTCTGTCTTCAATCACAGAACAACACAGTGTTCATGTTAATTCTTGGCCTCACAGATCCTCAAATTCCAGTCTCAGTAACGAATTCCTGTTTGGGAGCAGAGATGGGGATCAGCCTTATTTCTAAATGAAGGTAACTAATTTGCTGATTAAAATGGACTTAAAATACTAATTTAACTTTTACTGCTGCTCACTTGCTCCCTTTATTCTTCTCCCCCTTCCTGTTGTGATTAATAATATCTTTGTGTCTAGTAGTATTTTAATCTGATCAAACAGAGATGCTGAAATCACTTTATAAACCCTTAGTGAAGCTGAATTGACATAAAGTGAATCTGGGTGTGTTTTGCTGATTTGAAGAGGTGCAAAAATTTGGGACCACTGCAAGTCCCCCTCCCTCAGAGAGGGGCTTGATAAGGCTGGGCAGGTTCAGGTTTAGGTTCAAGTACAGGTTCAGGTTCAGATACAGATCTAGATAAAGGTTCAGGTACAGGTTCATGTACAGGTGCAGCTATGGACAAAGGTTCAGGTACAAGTCCAGGCTCAGGCACAGACACAGCTATGAGCACAGGCACTGTTATGGGTACAGGTCCAGCTACAGCGTAGGTACAAGTTCATGTACAGACACAGGCACAGGCACAGCACAGGTTCAGGTGCAGATTCATGTACAGGTGTAGACACAGGTGCAGGTACAAGCACGAGTTCATGTACTGCTTCACACACAGGTACGGGTTCAGATTCAGGTACAGGTTCAGGTGTGGTCACAGGTACAGGTACAGGTAGAAGTTCATGTACAGATACAAGCAGAGGTAAAAGCACAGGCTTGGTCACTGGTACAGGTTTAGGAAAAGGTTCAAGTTGGGGCACAGGTACAGAACCAGACCCAGGTACAAGCCCAGGTTCGATCACAGGTACAGAACCAGGCCCAGGTACAAGCCCAGGTTCGGTCACAGGTACAGAACCAGGCGCAGGTACAAGCACAGGTTCAGGCACAGGTTCAGGCCAGGGCACAGGTACAGATCAGGTACAAGCCCAGGTTCGGTCACAGGTACAGAACCAGGCCCAGGTTCGGTCACAGGTACAGAACCAGGCGCAGGTACAAGCACAGGTTCAGGCCGGGGCACAGGTACAGATCAGGTACAAGCCCAGGTTCGGTCACAGGTACAGAACCAGGCGCAGGTACAAGCACAAATCCTGTGCCCGGGCCCGTCCCGCCGTGAGGGCCCGGCCGCTCCCGCTGCGGTTCCCGGTCAGCGCCTGAGGCACGAGCGGCTCCGCGGGGCGGCGCCTCCGTTTGAACTCAAACCGCCCTCGCCGCTCCCCATTGGCTCCGCTGCGCGTCGCGCGCCGCCCCCTCCGCCAATTAGAGGCCACCGCGCTCCTTTTCGAATGTTCAACGGTCCTCGCGGTGCGTTTGTTTCTGCTTCCGCCGATCCGGTACGGGGTAAAGCTAAAAGAGTCCTTCTGCCCGGTGCCTCTTATCGCGTTCGCGCGGGATCGGTGATGTCCCGCCGCCGTGGCTGCTGCTGGCAGGCGGTGGCGGTGGCCCCCGTTTATCCGTCTGCGCCGTTCCTGGGGGCTCTGTTTTGGTGCCTGGCGGAGGGATACAGCGGGGCGGAAGGGGGTGCGCAGTGCGAGGGCTCGGGGGCCGGCGCGCGCGCGCGGGAAGGGCTCAGTCGGCGCCGCGCCGTGTCGGGAGCGCGCGTCGGACGCCGCCACACGGGGCCCCTCGGCCGCCAGCGCTCCGGCAGACCCAGGTACGGGTGGGCCAGCGGGGAGGGGAGTAGGACCGGGGGGACGCGGCTGTGGGGTGCCGGCTGCCGCGAGGAGGAGTTAGGCTGCCTGACACCCCGCTGCGGTGGCCACCTACCCCTCAGTGGTGGCTCTGGCGCTCTGCCATGGTGGCTGTTGCCCCCTTCTCCCCCGGTGTTTGCCTGTCCTGTCCCTGCCGGTGGTTTGAATCCCAGGCTTATCAATTTCTGCTTTTGTAGCTTTTTTTGTCTTTTTGGGAGCTGGTGGCTGCCGTGGGCAGGGCGCTCCCAGTGCAGTGTTTGCCCTAAAGCCTGAGGGACTGCCGGCTTCCCCTCCAAGCTGTGTCTCCTGGCCAACAAGTGTTTTATCGCATAAAACCCTCCCAAAAATTCCGCGAGAGCCTCTCTTAACTGCATTTAATTGCCTTGTTTTACCTTGCTGCCTTCAAACAGAGCGTTAATAAAGATGCTTCTTTGAGGATCTCTTGTGGTAATCGCACTTGTACATTAAATAATGAATTCTATGAAAATATATAAAAGGGTATCTTCTTGTGGGTTTGGGGTTTTTATGCCGGTTCAGTGCTGTTCCTCCTTCTGTCGTGATGTGTGCACCATCGCGACAGAGCTCGGGGGCTGCCCAAATTCCAGCCCCTTCCAGCTGTTCCTGCTCCTGGGAGCTGCTGCCCCCCTCCCTTTTCCACGAGGATACAACTGCAGTCACCAGCTCTTGATTTTAAATTCAAATCTGAGAATTTCCCTTTGGGTAAGAGATTGTAAGAGTTAGATTTCAGTGAAGAGAGGAGTGAGTTTTTAAGTTGTTTATGGGACAAAATCTGTGTTGCTCCTGTGAAAAACGCCAATCACTTGTTTTTAAAATTTTTAAAAGTTTAATAGTAATAAAATGGTTATAAAAATAGTAATATAATTAGAGTAATAAGATTTGAACAGTTGACATTAGGACAATATGAGACAATAATAATACTTGTGAAAAGCCAATCATACAATACACATTTTTCACACTGCTGAGCCTTTCCAGGGTCCTGATGGGTAATAAAAACTACCTGAATGCCAACATTAGTCTGACAATTTATATAAACATATTCCTAATTTTTTACACAGAGAAACACGTATAAACAGCACTGAGACTCTTCTGCTGTCCATTGGAAAATAGCTCATCTCTGGAACAAAATAAGCATAAAAATTTACATCCATTTGCTCTCATAAACATGTAAATCATAATTTGGATGAGTAACCTGGGTGTTTTTTCTAGGTAAGGTTCCTTATGTTTGAAGATGCCACGCTACGGAACAATCATTGTCATTAAAAGGAACGGGACTGATGGAATTGTTTTTCCACTCACCTCGACTTCTTGTTTATTTGGAAGGTGAGAATTTGCTTGCATACATTGAAATAATGAGTGTTTTCCTGCAGATCACGTATTTTAATGCTTTTTTACAAAAATAAACGTATATTTAGGGATGGTGTACAGAGGAGGGAAGGTGATACTGGACTAAGGTTAATGGAAGAGTGGAAAGTTAAACTTCATTTTATTACTGCTTTTTTGTCCTTTCCTTGCCAGAACTACTTTTATTGATTGATTTTAAATTTATGGCCACAGGAAATCAGGGGAAGGGATTAAAAGTGATAAGACCAACAGCAAGTCAAAAGCATTAGAGATTACCTTAAGAGAAGGACAGAAAGGAAAAGTCTGTACATTTATAAACACATTTTAACTCACTAATAACTTTTCAGAAGGTGGAAATGGTTATGCAGGTGAGACCAAGGGTCCAGTTACCTGTTTGCAGTCTCAGGTCAGAAATGTAAGCTTGAGAATGACTTTAACAGCTCATTTTGTCTAAAAATATTCCCCAAGTCTCAGGAAACTCTGGAGTAAGTTAATCCCACAGCACCAGCTGTGCTGTAGCCGTGTCTCAGCTTGTTGTGATCCGCTGTTTTCAGTTTGGCTGTTTCTCTGTTTTCCTGGTCTCAGTTCTCTGATGCTGGAGGAGTGCGAGCTGCTATTTTTTACCAGTTTAAAGAGACTTTGGTAATTAATTTTCTTCAAATTAGAGACATCACGCTGCTGTACCATTACTAACTAAAATGTTGGGCAATGCCCTAATTCTCCAGCAGATTTGCCAGTGTTTTGTGTGGAACTGAACCTGTGCTTTGCCCCCAGGAAAACAGAATGCGACATCCGCATGCGGCTGCCCTGGGTGTCCAACGAGCACTGCAAAATCGAGATCAATGAGAACAAGGAGGTGAGCTGGGATGTTTTACTGAAGCATGCATTGCCTCGCTGCATCTCTGCAGGTCACTCACGTTTTTGTTTGGTTTTCAGGCAGTCCTGACCAATTTAAGCTCAGTGAACCCCACGCAGCTGAACGGGGCTTGCTTTGAGCAGCCTGTTCCCCTGAAGCACGGAGATGTGTTAACCATTATCGATCGTTCTTTCAGGTATGTGCCACGGCCAGGCTCTTTAATTATTCAATTCTAGAGTAGAAATAATGTTTAGTTTATATTTCTCTATAAAATCTTACAGGATTTCATCAGAAGGCAGCATTGCTTAAAGTTATCTTTTTATCGCTTGTATTACATTAAGCTAAATCAGTAAAGATGGAATTGTTTAGACATCATTCTGATTCTGTTTCAAGAGCTGTGTTAAAGCCTTTTAAATGGAGATGTGTGCACTGCTGGGAGGGGGTAACTGTTCCCAAGTCATTCCTCTTAATAATCAGAATTGAGTCATCAATTCTTTGACAAAAAATGGTATTTTAAAATATTTTTTCAGGTTTGAATATCCTCTGCAATCAGCACCGAAAAAGAGGCGTTCCAGGTCTCCAAAAGATGAAACTCTGCAGGTAACTTTGTGGCTCTGGGATTTTTCTTTACAAATATATTGGTAGTAGTGGCGTGATTTTTATTTCCTTATTCTCTTTTCTTCTTAAAATAAGTTATACTTTTCTTATTAAAAGTAACTTTTCAGCCCAAGACTGCTGATTTATGTTAAAATACAAATGAACTCTTTCAGATAAATGCTTTGAAAGACTTAGTAATTTTGAGTCTAAACTTTAGTCAAAAATTTGTCACTTTTTGGTAATAGATAATTAATAATTCATTATGTTACCAAGACAGAGCTATGAATCTTCCACTGGATTTGGTAAGAAGGGAAGGTTCAAGGGTTTTTATTCTTATTTTACAGCTGCTTTGACAGCTCAGAATTTAAATGAAAAAACAAAATCAATTTCTGTTCTCTAGGGCCTCAAATATATTGGCCAATGTTAAATATTGCAAAGTTCAAGGATTTCATTTGAATGCTTTAAAGCTTGTTTAGGGACAGTGCAGATTCTCTTCTAAATAAGGTTTTTTCAATGTAGAATTGAAAGCTGAAGTACAAAATATTTGTTGCTCTGCTGTAATGTTGTACAAATTTACAGGTTCTTCATGTTCAGCAGGTGGCAGAAGTGGAATTATTGCACAAACAACCTCCAGGAGCTAAAAGTCTTGATGCTTCAGGTTGGTACCTGTTTTATGAGGGCTTTGTTTGCTTTTGTCCCCTTAACTGCATTTATTGTTGGTATTAGAATTAAAGTTAAAAGGGGGGGAAAGGCATTTTTCCAATCTGAGTGCATCTTGCTGTGTCAGTGGTTATCTCATCATGTTTAAATGCTGTGAATTCACCTTAGACATTAAAATTTAACTTGAACTGCTCTGCTGACCTACAGCTACACCTTTTTTTTTAGCAAATATTGCATTATCTCATGCATTCTTTACTAATGAAAAATTGAAACAAGTATAATTTTGGAGGTACATGGTACATATTGAAATAATTGTTAACAGGAACTGTTTGCTGTAGAACCAGAAAAATCCAGAGCTGCTAATTCTGGGTAGTTATAACCCACAGACTGGTAAAATGCTAGGATTGCACCTTCCCATCCTTGTTGTCTTAAATAATCCAGATTTTCAGAGAAGGCTTTTTATTGTCATTTCTGACAGACTTGTCTCAGTTCAAAAAGCCCCAGCTTGCTTTCAAGTGTTCCATTTCAGTAGATCCTCGTTGACCAGGAAGATCTCTGCTGACCTGGATCTTCCCCCTTGGGAGGGAAAATAAGGAATTTTTAATCTGTATTTATGGAACTTTTTTTTTTTTGTAGCTCTGCAATTTTAAAGTAACTCTGCATCTGTATTTTTGTTTCACTTTGCTTTCTTTGTAGATAATGCTGAGTGTAAAGAAAAAAATACCAATGAAAATAAACAAACTCCAGAGGAAAATCTTCCTGAAGCTTTCCCTGTCAAACTCCAAACACCCAAATCTTCACAGAGAATACATTGTGTTCTTAAAAAGCAAAATGAAATGTCTCCCTTTAGTAAACTCTATGAAAGTGTGAAAAACGAGCTGAAAGTGAAAAAACCTCTGCGCAGGAGAAGCTCCTCTCAGCAAGCTGCAGAAGGAGACCCTGGGTGTGTTCTGCCAGAACCAAGTGCTCCCATTTCATCCCAGAGCTGTCCTTTTGATCTGGGCAGCCTGGCTAAAGGCAAGAAAACAGGCAGTATGGGAAATATTGAAAAATGCATAATTGTGAGACGAGAAGAAGAAAACAGCCCAGGGTTTAACCAGCTGTCAGCTGGGGCGAGAACTCCCAGGAGGAGTTTTACCATGAGTCCTCGAGCTCCCATTTCAAAGGAGGTGTCAGGGGATACCAGTCAGAGTCCGTTGCAGGATCCCAAGGAATTAAGGACACCTGGCAGATCCAGAAGTGCTGCACTCACACCCAGATCCAGCATCGGGAACCGCAGGAGCTCCCTGGTTTTGCTGGAGCAGTGCTCCATAGAAAGGTTTGAGTGTCCAATTCAAGGGGCAGTGTGCAGCTCCAGAAACTGCAGTGCTGCTGAAGGATCTCCGTGTGTGCTGAGCACACCAAGGCCCAGGAGGAAGAGTCCTCGGTCTCTTTTTGTGTCACCTCCCAGAGAAACCACTGGAATGAATCCTGGAAATCCTGACGCTCCAAGGACCCCACGGCGTGGGTCGTTGAAACTGAAGTCACTTCCAGAGATCCCAGCTGGAGCTCCAAGGGAAGATGCAGTGTGCAGAACTGAGAACACACAACTGCCTTTGCCAGAAGACAAAAGCTTAAAGCAACGACGAAACAGCAAACAACAAACACCAGGAAAACCTGCCCAAGAGGTGCTGAAAGAAATCTGGGATCAGGCAAACCTGGATAACTCAGAGGTGGGACATTGTGAAACCCCTGCCTCTCTCTCTAATTCCAAGAGTCCCAGAAGAAGCAGCAGGGAAAGTAAAGAATTCTTGGACAAAAGTGCCCATTCAGAGGCATTGGCTGCAGAAGGAATGTTGGCATCTCCTGCTGGTCAGACACCTGGAAGGAAAAGGGGAAGGCCAAGGAGCTCTGGAGTGCTGGCTGAAACAACACTGGAGACAAACACTGCCCAGGAACAGCAAGATTCAGGCAGAAAAGCCAGTACAGCTCCAGCAGAGATGGCCGTGGACACGTGTCACCAAAACCAGGATTTGGAAGATGCTCCAAGACCTCGGAGACCATCAGTCAAGAGAAGATCTTCTGAATGTGCTGCTGAGCTGAGAGACACTGAGCCTGGCTCAGAAACCAAAACTTTTGGCCTCTTGCAAGGAGAAGACTCAGGTAAGTACTTTGGATTGCCTGTCTCGTTTTTGGTATTTGAGAAACTCTGTAGCACTTTTGTAAGAATTCTTCCACTTTGGTAAAATGTGGAACAAATTACTGACCGTAATTGTGAAATGTTTATCATGGAGTTACATTTGACCTTAACAATACGCAATATGTATAAAATATCCTGGATTTAATCTATTTCCCTTTAAGGTAAGTTCCTCTGGGTTTGTTTCCAACTTTGAAATGCACAAGGAAAGGTTAAAATGCTGCCTTGTGTTCTTGGAGATCTAAAAATCGTTTCAATTGTTCTTTTCAGGCAAGACAAAAAGAATCTCTCAGAAGAGGAAAAGTGGTGAAACACTCCCTCAGACTCTGGGCAAAAGAAAGAGAGTGTCCTTTGGTGGTCATCTGAGCCCAGAACTCTTTGATAAAAGTTTGCCTCCCAACTCTCCCCTGAAAAGAGGAGCTCTCCCTGCCAGGCGGAGTTTACCCCATGGAAACTCTCCTCGGGCTGTGCTCAAAAAGGCTCAGTGCTTGAAGCACTGGATAGATCAGGTAAATGTTCAGAATAATCAAGTTGCTGAGTCCATTACTGTGATCAGACTTTATAAATAATATTATATATGTATTTATTATTTATTCAAAATTAGTAGTAACCCTTGTGTGATGTGTGCTGGTGTCACTCGTGAGTGGTTTGGGATGCTCAAAGAATCATCAGCTAAAACAGGTTTATAATAAAGTGAAAGTACAACCATTGGCAAGGTCACTGCTACTTACTGGATGCGTAAAACACACAAGGGAAAATTGGGCTAAAAGTTTAAAATCGGTCAACTATAATTGACATAAAATGATTTAATTGGTGGCTGGGGATGGATGAAGGGTGAGGATCAAAAGTAAGGTAAACCCTCCTGCCCAACTTAGCCCAGACTTGATCAGCAGTTTAGGAATCATTTATCATTTGTGAAAAAGTAAAATCCAACTCTCAGGCAGGGTTTGCCTGGACTGATCACTTCACTAAAAAGAAGGAAATATCTTCCATACACTAATTTTTTTTATTTTTTTTTTCCTAGGAAGAAAAGAAGTCACCCAAAAATTCCCCAGCCCAGCAGCCCCCAGGTGCCTCATCCCCTGTCTCAACACCCAAAATCCCTTCAGGCTCTCCAGCCCCCTTCAGGAAAGGGCGTTTCTCCATCTCCCAGCCCCTCACACCATTCCCCATTGCAGAGGAGAAGGATGCTAGCACAGAAGACATGGATCCAGAGGAGAAGAGTGGTGTCCAAGGGAAAACCCCAAAATCTTCCCCTGCTGCCCAAGATGCCAAAGCCTTGGTGACAGGGACACCTGCCAAGTCAGCCAGAGGTGCCCAGCGGCGCTTGAAGGGCTCTGCCATGAAGAGCAGAGGTGGGGCTGTGGCTGTTATCAGTGCCAAGAGGAGAAGTGGTGCCTCCAGTGCCAATTTATTCGGTTGGTTTCAACAGTTAATTTTTAATACTCATTTACATGCTTTAAAAATACAGGAACCCCACTGGAAAAAGCTTGTTTTGTTATGCAGAGGCCACCAAATAATTGGTGAATCTTCTGAAATCTGCTGGCCTTAGTGGAAGTGCAAAGGGTTGTATTTTCTCATTCGTACAGCAAATTTATTAAAACATCTATAAACTCATTTAAAGACAAATACTGATGTTCAGAAGTTAAGAAATGGTAAAATTAGCATTCTCTTTGCAAGGTTATAGTCGTGATCTTTAAAATCTGTCAAGTTCCAGTAGTGTTAAACTAAACCATGTTTATCACACTACTGTTGCTTTGAAAAACTTAACCTTTTGTAGCAATGCAGCTTCACTTCGGTTATTTTGTGCCTTCTTTTTATACAAGGCTCACAAACTTTGTCCAGGAGCTGGGCTGTATTTAACTACTCAAAGTGGTACATAACTGATAGAAATAAAAAATAGGATCATAACTGGGTGTTACTTTCAAATCCTCAGAATTCCCAGTGTTGAGCACTGATTTCAAACAGTTTTGACAGCATTGGAAACTGTAATAGGGGAGATCTGGTTCTGCAGGTTTTGACTTCTGAATAAACTTTGAAGAAGGGTGTATTTGTCACCTGTTTTCATCAGTTAAATCAGTTTGACAAAGTCAAATTCCCCATTCACCCAGGATTTTTTATTACTTTATTATTTTGTCCATTTTAATGGCAGGGAGAGCTCTTGACAAATACCAGTGGCATTCCATTTCTCACCACCTCTGTAATGTGCTTTTTAATATCACTGCATCAATTCCTTCTGTAATATGAAAATAACATCACAGCTCTTAAAAATTTCAGCTCCAAAATAAAACTGTTTCCAGTGCTATTTCAGATAATTTCCTGGATGCTTGGCATTTTCCTCTGCATCCTGCACACCCTGGCAATGTCAGCTTTTCAAAGTTCTTTTTATTTACAAACTGACATAGCAATTCTGACAAGAGAAGAACAACATCCTTTTCATGGATGGAAAAGGAACAGTATTCTCCTTTTAATCTCTGTTTTAAAAAGTCATTTCTTTTATACGATCCCTCTGTTCTGGTAGCTTTTTTTCCTGAAGTAAACAAGGCAGGTGTCCTACAACTTCTAGCTTCATTTATTCCACAGCTGTAATTCCCTGCTCCCACTGCTGTGTACAGAATGATGCTATGATGAAGGTAACTTTGCTTTGGGAATTTTGGGAGTGTGTCACAAGGAGAAGGTGATACAAGAAAAATTATGGGAAGTCTGTAAATCTAAATTCAGGATAAAAAAACTGAAATTCCTCAGGAAGGTGGTGAAAGAAACTTCACTTAGAAACAATTTCTCTTCTCTTGTTAAATCTCACCAGAGTAAAGCTCATCTATAATAAGCGAGGCTGGAAAGCTCATGGCAAGTTTCTGTTGGGAAAAAAGAGTTCCTTCCAAAAGAGAGAGGAAGGAACTGGGTCAGTGTTCAGCTGTAGGATCTGAGCTGTGTTTGACACCGTGTGAAGCTCATTGTTTTGGTGTGGAAAGCCACACTGGGTACTTGGAGTCTTCTTAAACTTCAGCTGAAATGGGGTTTTCAAACTGAGAATATTTCAGAGAACACTTCAGGTGTTATCAGGTAATAACAACCACTTTCCTCTGCCAGACTGCAGAAGATGTATTGGAATAATAAAGAAATAATTGTAAACTTCCATTTACACGGCTGAGAGTTAAATTTGTTTTCTCTCCGTTTCTTCTAGTTGCAAAATCTTGGGCAGAAGTGGTAAAACTGGGGGTTGCAAGACCACAGCCAAAGACTGCTAAAAAAAGTGTCCATAAAGGAAGAGCCCTGAAGAAACTAAACCACCCCCCAAAGGTATCCTTTTCTTTTTTGTGTTGCTTTATTTTCCTGCATATCCACCAAGAAGCTTGGATGGATTTTGATTGAGAAGCTGAGCTCTTGGTGTGATGTAAAATGGGAGTTGATGTCTCCCACAGCATGTGGGAAATGGAGGTTTGTACAAAAAGAATCACAGAATTATTAGGGTTGGAAAAGACCTCCAAGATCTTGGAATCCAACCTCTGATCCTAAAAATCAGGCCTTTCCTAAACTCAGGCTGGCTAGGCCTTCCAACCCTCGCTGGTCCTGGACATCCTCCAGCCTTCTGGTTAACCATGGCTGATGATAAATTATGGGAGGAGCTTGGCCACCTCTTCCACCATGAATCTTTGTTTAATAACTCTTTTTTTTCTTTTCCCTCTGCAGACTCCAGAGAAGAAAATAAAAGATCACTTCAGCACAGGTCATGCAGAGTCACCTGCTACCATAGTTGTAGGTAGAGCTTATTCCACCACAGTCAGGTCAGCTGGATATGTCCCTAAAGTGGTGAAAAATCCCAAGCTGAAGCTCAACATGGATATGGATGAAAGTTTCACAGGTGAGATTTCAAAGTCTGTTGCTTCATCTGCCTGCTGTGCAGTTCTTCTGTCAGAACATCTCATTTCTCCAAATATCATTTCTAGGGATGCCTGAAATGTTCCAAACTCCAGAACACCAGGGAGGAAGAACATTTCCTCTGACTGCTGCTCAGAATGCTGATGTTACACCACCGTGGGCTGCAGGGGACATTTCTGACTTGCACACTCCTGAGGAATCTGGTAGGTTTGGTATTTTAAAAAAGAAGATTTAGGTATATTATGGGTTAGCAGCAGTCTCAGCCTAGGCAGACTTAACTGAGGTGAAGCATCCAGCAACCGTGAAAGGTACTATTGAGATTTGTCAGGTATTAAAAGAAAATGTCGTTCCAGTTAATTTCTGAGTAGAATATTTTATTATTCATTCAATTTGGATGGAACTTCAAGCTGCTCTTGAGTTGTTTCAGACAATGCACGTGTTTGGGTTTGATTTCTAGAAGGGTGTATTTGAATTTAATTTTTTTTATTATGCAGCAATTAAAATGCTTTGATTTTCTGCTTGATTTGTTTTCCAAATGACATAAGTCTACTGATTATTTCAGGAGAGATGATGGTGTCACCATTAAATAATTCAGATGCTTCAGAGCAGAAGCAAGACAGTCCGGGCATATTCCACCTTCTGAGAGAGGAGTCATCTCCATCTATGTTTGATGAAATAGCCACAAAAACTCCTGAAAAAAGAAAAGCTGTGCGCAAGGATACTGTGGATAGTTTAGCAGTAATTTCAGAAAAACCAGCATCTCTGGTGAAATCAGGAAGTAAAAGGAGGACTCCAAAGCAGAAGCTGGAGCCAGCTGAGGTCATGTCAAGCAAAAGGAAGATTTTAAGGACCCCTGAGAAAAGGTCAGAACCAGAAGAGGTTTTGTCAGGTATCAAGAGGCTCATGAAGACCCCAAGGCAGAAGCCTGAGCCTACCGAGGTTTTGTCAGGCATCAAACAGCTCATGAAGACCCCAAAGCAGCAACTGGAGCCTGTAGAGGTTCTGTCAGGCATTAAAGAGCTCTTGAAGACCCCAAATCAGAAACTGGAGCCTGTAGAGGTTTTGTCAGGTATCAAACAGCTCATGAAGACCCCAAATCAGAAACGGGAGCCTGTAGAGGTTCTGTCAGGCATCAAACAACTCATGAAGACCCCAAATCAGAAACTGGAGCCTGTAGAGGTTTTGTCAGGTATCAAACAGCTCATGAAGACCCCAAAGCAGAAACTGGAGCCTGTAGAGGTTCTGTCAGGCATCAAAGAGCTCTTGAAGACCCCAAATCAGAAACTGGAGCCTGTAGAGGTTTTGTCAGGTATCAAACATCTCGTGAAGACCCCAAATCAGAAACGGGAGCCTGTAGAGGCTTTGTCAGGCATCAAGCATCTCCTGAGGACCCCAAAGCAGAAACTGGAGCCTGTGGAGGCTTTGTCAGGCATCAGACAGCTCATGAGGACCCCACGGTGGAAGCCAGAGCCAGTGGAGGACCTGTCAGGCATTAAGCAGCTTCTGAGGACTCCACAGCAAGAGCTGGAACCACTCACAGACGAAGTTGCCTTGAAAAGGTTGCTGGAGACTGCAGTAGAGAGCAGGGAAGCAGTAAAAGCTGTGCCAGGTGTGACTTCAACCAAGAAAACCCCAAAGCTGAAATCCCAGCCCGTGGAAGACATGGTTGGGATCAGCCGCATTTTCCAGACGCCAAAGGGAAAGGTTGAGCCTGTGGAAAACATGTTTGGAATTAGCAGATTGATGAAATCTCCTAAAGAGAAATATCAACCAGTTGAGGATTTTGTGGGGCTGCAAAGGCTCATGGCAGAACCCAGGCAGAAATCTTCTGATTCTGAAGTGGACTATGCTGGAGTGACTGAAATGTTTGGTACCCCAGAGGAAATGAAGGTAAAATACTTGAACTTTTGGAAAGGATGTTTTTAGACTTTGAAACCTGTGGTTTAAATGAATGTAGACTTTCTTGTATGACACTTTGTATCTTGCAACATCTTTTAGGGACAGCTGCATTTGTGCATGTTAAAATGTATTTACTTGAAAGGACTTGTCACAAACGAGTGTTTTAAGGTTGTTTAGGTATCATTAAAAACAGGCTTAATATAAAAGTGATAAGGTTAATATTAAAGTGACATTCCCAGCATCTCATTCACCACTCCACACTGACCATTACAGGTAGGAGAAGTGAAGTTGTCCAATCAGTGGGTCAGTGTTGGTGATGTCTGTGCCCAGCCTGGTTTGTTCTGGTCCTTCTTTTTATTGTGAGAACAGTCTTCAGTGGAGATGTGCTGCCATCACTGCCAGTATCATTTCCTGAAAAAATTATTTTGATTCTGATATTCTATAGGTAAAATGCTGAGTATCCCTGGGCTTAGTGCTTAGAACACAATAAAACACTACAGAACACTCAATTTCTCTTCAATACCCCAAATTCCCTTTGAGCACTCATTTAGGCACTCCTCAACCTCTTCACAATGTTGTCTTTCACTTTAGATGGAAAGAATTGAATTTGCTGTGTTGGTGGGTTGATATCAGATAAATGGATGCATTTATAAGACTAATTGATTTAATTTGTAAAGAACAGAGTTTCACAAGCTTTTTTATAAACATTGCTGTACATTCATCTGGTATTGGTTGGCTCCATAAGTTCTTGTCCTGTCAGACATGCATTTATTGGTTATTTTTTATTCCTTTAGGTCAGATCAGTAAATGTCATGGATTCTCAGGGAAAAATTGCACCTCCTGGTTCTAATTCCAGTCATAAACATGGTAAGAACAAGTATTTTGCTTAGAGGAGTAGTGAATATATAAAATCATAAATGTTACCATGAAGTTCAAATGTTGTTCAAATCTCTCTCACTGAGCCCAGCTATTTCCTGAGCTAAGATCATTTTTTCCATTTGACCTATCCAAATAAATTAAGCAACTTCAGTCAGAGGCCTGGCCTTAAATGTAGGAATTGGTTAAATATTTCTTTATTTATTCTATGATTTGTTTGAGCAAGATGCCTCTGTGAGGAAAATGGAAATGCACAGACACTTTGACAGGAATGTCTAATTTTTGTTTGTGCTATTTACCCTGTTCTAGAAGAGAAAGGAAAAGTTTCCCAAGGTGAAGATTCCCAACAGAAGGACTCAAATGGAGAAGAGCAGCCTACCCAGAGACCCAGAAGGGGAAGGAGAGCTGTACCTCCTGCTGTAGCAAAACCAAGTGAAAATGATGTGCGTTTAAAGGATTTGCAGAGTCCTGACACCCAAGAGGAGATGGGAGTGATCACACCTGTAAACAAGGGAAGAGGAAGGAGGACAAAGCGTTGCATACAAGAAGTTGTTCCAAAGTGTCCTGATCAGGAAGGCCTTGACATTGTTTCATCTATGGAACCACCTGGAGCTGCTCAGAGACCAGGGAGAGGTAAAAGGAAAGAGCTGAAGGAGTTAAAACATGAAAATGAAAATCTGGAGTCTTGTATTGAAGATTCCTCAGTGCTACAAAAAGCACCTGCAAACAAACAGAGTTTGCAGGACTGTGGCATCAATGAAACTGAAGATGATCCAGGCACAAAGACAGGACTTGGAAACATTCAGAGTGAAATCTGTCAGCTGCAAACACGTTCAAATAATCCTGATAGCAAAGCTACTGATAGTGGGATTGAGGACTGTGAAGAAGTGCTCCTGTCACCGAGGAGGAGGCGCAGAGGAGTGGAGAACACAGAACCAGTGATTCCACCAAGAAGAGGGAGACGAGCAAGGAATGACCAAGGTGAAGCAGCTTCTCCAGGAGACCTTCACAGAGCAGCCAGAAAGCCTCGTAAAGACCCATCCCCAAAGGTTTCACAAAGACAGGAACAGGCTTGTGACAAAGCTCCTGAGGCTGCCACAGCACAAGAATCTGAAAATGGCACTAAACTTGAACTAAAGGCAGCAGAGAGAAGAGTTAAGTCTCTTAGAAGTACTAGAAACAGAAAGCACTCAGCTGAAATAAAAGCAGACATTAGTGGGGTTGCACTTGAAAATACACAAAATATTCCAAAAACTGAGGAAACATCAACTGAAACTGATGCTGAAACACAATCCCATGTGAAAAATGAGATGAAAGGATCTCAGGGATGTGAAACAGAAAATGCTCAGGAAAACACAACAGAAGCAGCTCGAAGATTAAAGGCAGAGTCACCTTCTGCAGAGACAAACAAAATGCCAGTCAGTGCTCAGAACATGGAAATAAAGAGGACTAGAAACAGGAGAGGCAAAAAAGACTCTTTGGAGCAAAAAACTGAGGAATTTACTGAAAATGTGAGCAGCCTAAAAGCAACTGCTCCCAAACTTAATTCAGAAACAGAAGTGGATGAATCTTCTCTCCAGGATTCCGTGGGCTCTGTTTGTGTCAGTGCAGCCCCAGGCAGGAAGGAGCAGCCCAGCCCAGGTGCCCCATCAGTCCCTGCTGCAGACAGTGCCAGTCCTGCTCAGGGCAGTCAGAGGAGGACGAGAAATGAACGGGGAATACTTAAAGCAAAGCAAACTGAAATCCTGCAGGGCAATCCAGCGCAAGGAAATGCAGGGATGTGTAGAAGAGGAAGAGGTAAAAAAGTTAATTTTCAGCTTGAAGAAGGCAGTTCCAAAGCAATTGAAGGAAAAAGTTTACCTGAGGGTGATGAAGGGATGACTGCCAAAGATAATCAACATGAGAGTTCCGAAAATCCTCCTTCACAGGGAAGGAGGGGCAGGAGAAAGCAACTTGATTCCATCCCACAAAAAGCTAGTCCTGCCTTTGTAGAAAAACAAACATTAAGTGCAGATCACAGGAAAGATGAGGCTGTTGTACAAGAGCCAGGACCAGCTTTGGAAGCTGCTCCCTCTTCAGCAGAGGACAATCCACCCAGGCGGGGCAGGAGACGCGAGGTGGCTGCAGCATCACAGAGCAGATCTCCTTCTGTCAGAACAAGACGTGGGCTGCTGGAAGGTGATGCTAAACAGATGGCAGAAAGAGAAGAGGAAAATCCAGCTCTGGGTAATAAAGCTTTACAGCCAAAAGTGAATGCACCAACAAGGGACAGAAGGAAAAAGATGGATCCGGCACCAGAGGCAAGAAGTTCAAGTCCTCTCCAGGGAAAATGTGGCTCGTCAGAGACTAAAGATGAGGGTACTCAGGAAGAACAAAGTGTGCCTTTGGAAGCAGTGTCCTGTGCAAAGGAGAAGCCAGCAGGAAGGGGCAGAAGGAAAGAAACTGCTCAGGCATCACACACAACCAATTCCATCTCTCTTCAAGGGAAGCGCAGGTTGCCGGCAGGTGATGGAGACGAAGCTCCCAAAGAAAAGCAGAATGTTCCTTTAGAGACTTGTGATTCATCCGGAAAAGAAAATCAGCTGAGAAGAGGCAGGAGGAAGGAAATTGCCCCCTTGGTAGAAGCCAAAAGTTCTATTCAGGGAAACCAGGTCCTCTCAAAACAAAGTGGTAGAAAAAATAACAATAAGGAAGCTAAACAGAATTTGGACAATTCTTCCCAAGAAAATATGGAGCTTGTAAAAGGGAGCTTGAGGCAAGCAACCACTTCACTGACTCTTAGTCCCACCTCACTTCAGAGTTTGCCAGAAGATGGTAAAGACAGAATTCCTGAAGAAAAACGTAAAGTTTTGGATGTAGCTCCACCTGCAAAAGAAAATCCATCAAGAGTGGGCAGGAAGAAAACAACTTGTTCCACTTCTGAAGAAACAATTTCCACTTCTCTCAGGGAAAAACCCAACCTGCCCAGAGGCAGAGGTCAGAAGAGGATTCTTAAAGAAAGTGAAGATGTATCTCCAGAAAATAATCCATGCCAGGGGAGAACAAGGCAGTTGAGAAACAACAGGAGGAAGGTGGAGGTGTCAGAGGCAGCTACTTCTACTCCCCATAAAAGCAGTGACTTGCCAGGAAATGGCAGCACTCTGGGAACTCAGGATTTGAGTGGAGCATCCACTGGTTCTGAAGAGAATCAGTCTGGAAAAGGCCAGGAGGGTGACCCTGCTCCACAGACAGCCCCCTCCTCTCGCAGAAGGAAGTGCCAGCTGCCAGCAGAGGGCGAGGCACCCAAAAGATTCAAATCAGGTGAGTCAAGGCTTGGCTTTCTCTGCAACAATTGTGTGCAGAGCTCTGGGGCTGCTGATGGAAAAGATCCAAGATCCTCCATGTCCCTCCTGAGCTGAGGGACCCAAACTGGGCACAGCACTGGAGGTGCCTCCCCAGTGCCCAGTGCAGGGGGACAGTCACTGCCCTGGTCCTGCTGCCACCTAAAATATTCCCTGGAGTTTTCAGCTTGACTTAAAAAACTCCCAATTAGAAAATATTCTCAAATGAATGCTTTGAAGTAGAAATGGCAGCAACTCTTCAGAGCTACAGCAGGGAATTTCCTGCCATAAAACTTGCTGTTTTCATTTTTGCAGGACTTTGGTGTTGGTTCTGTTTTAGTTTTACATATCAGTGGAAGGAATTTTAGCTAAAATGGCAGCTAATTGGTTTTGGTGCTCTCATTAATGTTAACCTACTTTCAGAAATAGCTGTAAATCCTCAGGGATCCAACTTAAAGGATATTGGATGTGCAGAATTGTGGGGTTGGTATCTGGTTTGTTGAATTCAGAGATGTAATCTTTGGAATGTTGTCATTGGGGACATTTCCTTTCAAAACAATGTAGGTGAGGATGGAATTTTGTGGGAAATATTTGATTGATGATATAAATTGACATTTTTTTCCATGTGCAAATAGGGAATGATGAAAATGGGTCTGTCCAAAGAGGAAGAAGAAACAAAACTAAACTTGGAGAAGAGGATGCAAGGGCAGCTCAGACCACTGGAGGGATGGAGAGGAGGACAAGATCCAGCACAAGAACAAGGAAATAGCCTTAAGAGTCCCAGAACCAGTTTTTAAATCAATTCAGTAATTCCAATTACAGGTTTTTTTTAATGTGAATTGATTTGCACTCTGATTTTAAGCTAAGATTCTTGCTAATTACATGGTTACTTTACAAGATACATTTCTTAATGTAGATAAGATAAGAAGTAGATATTTCTTCAGCAGCTTTGCCAACGTGTGGTGGTTCCTAAGCCATGGGGTGCTTGTGCAAAGCTGCAAACATAAATTACATTTTGTTTTACCAGTGTTTCTCCCTTTTTCCTGTTGATCAGTACAACAATCAGGAAGCCATATTACTGCCAGCTAAAGCTATTTTCTGCTGAAATTTTCCTACGCTTAAGTTTTATTTTTCGTTGGAGTTCTGTAAATATTCTCTTTTTAAAAAAAATAGTTGTATTGGCAAAAGTATTATGCTAAATTTTTAATAAGTTTTTTTAAAAAAAATACTAAATTTGTATTGAAGAGTTTCAGGTTTTGAAGTCATTAAACTTGTAAACAATTTGGGACTTGTGTGATTTTTTTGGTTTTAAGAATGCTTAAGTATGTGATTGCTGCTGACTTACGAGTTCATTTCTAAGGTTTGTCCTCTGTGGTTGATGTGGTTTGCAGACAGAATTTTTAGGACTTTTTACAGATAAATTGTCTTCAAGGCTGGGGGTTCTTGAACGCAGAAACAGAGATAATTCAGCCTGGGCATAAACTTGTATGCAGTTTTTAGGCCTGACTTTAAATCCTTTGTTTATGTGGTGTGTGAGGAGTCGGGGATGTTTCTGCAGCAGAGCATTTGGAACTGGAATTGTTCAGGTTGGAAAAGACTCCTAAGACTCCAAACCTCAGACTTGATATAATATATAATATTAAGGGGTTTTTCTAAAATTTTGGCTGGATTTTTTGTTTGTTTTTTTTATCATGTGGAATGTGCTGTACCCATATCCACAGAGGGTTTTTATTGAATTATAATGCACTTTTTTTTTTTTTAATTACTTCATTCTAGTGTGAAAATTCCAGTCTGTCCATACATCCAGGGCTGTTCCATCCCAGGTGCAGAATCTGGTATTTTCCCTTGAACTTCACATGGTTAAATACGAGAAGTGGAATAAATTATGGTGAGGAGTCTTTTGGTTTGGGTTTTTTGTGGTTTTATTAAACCCTGTTTCCCAATCATCACATTCCTAAAACTTTAACCCTGAAATCTCAGAGGAAAGCAAAATTTTACCGTCTTCCCTAAAATCAAAACTGCCTCCTCTGTGTAAGCAATGCCATGATTGGGAAATACAGGGATCCACAGGAATATTTTTCTGGAATATTTATTTTCAAGTTGTTTGGTTTTTTCCTCCAGTCACTCAGGTCTGTCACTTTTGGGTTTGGTCCAAGTTCAAATCTAACAAAAGCTCAGCTCAAATTAAATGCCTCAGTTCTCTTCCAGAGCTGGAGTTTCTCCCCAAGATGGAATTTGTGGATAAACTAAACTTGAGGAACATCTCCTGAAGTAAATTCTCCTTCTCTAGTACTAAAAAAATCAGGAATTGTCTCCTCTCATGGCCCTTTCCCAGGTGCTTCACTGGAGTTGGTCTCAAGACTGAGAAGGAATCCTGGGCAGAGTCTCTCCCTAAGGAATTTATCCCACTGCTTTTGTAGGAATTGGAGAAATCTCCAGAGTTAGATCCCAGTTTCTGTAGTCTGTGGAGGTCTGTGCAAGGCCAGATGTGTTTGGTGAAGAGATGGACACAAGGTAGGATGGGAATTCCCAAAGCAAAGGTTCATTTGTGGAAGTTTCAGAAAATGATGTTGTCTCATTTTTGGGAATGTTCTACAGCCAGCCAGGAAAATCAGGAGCTGAAGGTAGGTGGCTGATGCATTTTATTGTATTTATTTGGTTGTGGGGACCCTGCAGCCACCCGGACCAGGGCTTTGCTCACTGTCCAGGGTGTTTCCAGAGGAGATCTACTCTGTGCTCTTTGAACTGATATTTAACATGAATTCCTGCTGATTCAAATTGGATAAAGATGTGTTTTATTTTATGGGCAACTCCATTTCCACTCAGAAAATTTGAAACTGCAAGTTTACCTCAAGGTAGGTAATTCTGAGGGAGAGCTGAGACAAATCTCTTTCCTCTAGGAAAATTTCCAAATTATCTTTGTGATTTCTGTAGTGTTACATCTTCATTGTTGTGTGGCAGCACAAATTTAAAAAAAAAGGAAATGGTGGGAAAATTTCATTGCAAGTTTTCTGCATTGTCAATGTTTGATTTTTAATCTGGGCAGATGATTTTCCTAAGGAAGGAAGGAAAGGAGTGGGACATAAATAACATCAGGAAGCAGAGGTTTCTCTTAGTTATCTGTGACTGTTGCTTGCATTTAAAGTTGCTGGGTATAGATACATGTATATGTTTTTATGTCTATGAATTTATTTAAAGCTAATTTCTCCAGTGATTTTTGAGGGAGTAATAAAGAAGAATTTGAGTATTTTAAATTTTATGTAAATATAGAGAGCTGCCTGGTGATATTTACCTCACTTAGGTTGGAAAAGCTCTCCAAAAGCATTGAGTCCAACCCCAGAATGTCCAAGGCCACCACTGTCCCATGTCCCCAAGTGCCACCTCCTCATGGCTTTTAAATCCCTGCAGAGTATTTATTATTTAAGCAGGAGCATTATTTTTCCAGAGGTTTTGGTTTGATCCTCCTTTTTGATGGATTTGTCACCGCTGTGCTGTCAATTGTCACCGATCCCTGTGGGGACCTCCATCTATCCTCTAAATTTCATCTCCACACTTATTAAAAATAGATGGACTTCCTGCTTCCACTACATAAACAAGGTTGAAAAATCAACTTGATTGTCACAGAGAGTTTCAAAACTTCCTGACAACAAAACTGGATTTTAATATTTCAGCCCTGCCTTGCCATCAATTGTCGGGGTCCGCTGTTATGTGTCTCTGCCCCGACACGGGGAAAGTGGTTCTGGGCGGCCGCGATTGCGAAGGATGAGTCTGGACTCTCAGATTCTCGGTCTTCAGTCTTGTTTATTATCTCTTATCTACAAAGCTTTCTCTCTGCCCAGCCGAGGTCCGCTCAGCAGGACAGTCAAGTGCGCTCCCCCCCACCCACAGGGCAGTTGTGTCCTTTATAGTAAAAATTACGTGTGACATATTTACCTTTATTTCCCAATACTATTCACCCTTATAGACAAGTGTACCTTCACCCTGAACCAATCCCCAAGTATCAATGCCACAGCCCTGCCTGTTCCTGACAGTTTCTTTCATACCCAATTTCCTTCCAGACTTCTTGGCTTGAAAGAGTTCCTCGACAGCAAGACAAGCTGCTTAATTACATGAAACACGGAAAGAAAACTCGCATTGGCTTGAATTTTGCGCCTTTTAATTTGTCTCTTTCCGTGGCGTTCCTCCCCTGCCCTGACCCAGAGATGTGATGCTATTTTGGGAGAACAGTTGTTAACCTTGGAGCCGAGCTGTAAACACCCCCAGAATTTTGGGATTTTCTGTAATTTCCCAAAGGCTGGGCTCTGATGGAGGCAATTCTCAGAGATTAGCAGAGAGCAGGTAATTGATGATCTTTGAGGACGTTGTCTCCATAGATTCCCACTCCAGCTTCCTTCCCTGCTCCTTTAGAATATAATTTATGGCTGGTACTCAGAGGAGGTCACAAAAAAAAATCCTGGAGTCAAGTGGGAACTGCCACCCTTTTAAAAACTTCCATGTGATGTTCCCTGCCACTCCAAAATTTGTAATTAGTGAATATTCTCAGGTTTGCCAACAGAGGCTGGAATTTGTGGATAAGCTTGAGGAACATCTCCTGAAATAAACTTCCCTTCTGTAGTACCAAAAAAGGACTAAAGACCCACCTGGAAATTAAATATCAGGAGTGTGGGGAAGTTTTGATGGTGCTCAGGGCAGATATTGATGTTTTTGTGGTTCTGTGAGTGGCAGGTAGATCAGGACTTGTCAGCCTGTGACAAGCAATTAACAGTAAAAATTGGGAAAAATCAGTGTATTTGAAAGATAAAACCCCAATCCTGTTCTGATCTTCAGCATTATAAATTTCCATTTTTTATTTAATGAATTTAAGAAAATTCTCCAGATTAATTTTTTTTCTCCAGGAGGGCTTTTTAAATTCCAGTAGAATGCAGGATTGGGCATGGCTAAAATACACCCTTGTGATCCCGAAGTTTGATAACCACAACTTTTACAGAACACATGGCAGAAAGAGTAAAACTTTCTATTGTATTTCACTGAAAATATCAGTTTTATCAAGAGACCTGCAGCCAGAATTTGGAATTAAAGTGGGATACCATAAAACCGTGAAAGAAGTGCTTCAATCCCCACTCACTGCAGATTCTGAGCAGCATCATTCAGCATCACCTTGCCCAGGAAATATTTTTAGCCAAAGCCAGAAGAAATCAAAGCACTTTGAGGCAAATATTCCTGTGTCTCTGTGTATTGGGGAAGAAACACTGGCAACAAATCAGTGTTTTTAGCACTACTTCTAGTGCTGCTATTAGAATTATCTGAACAAAATTACTACATTTTAAAATTTATCTTATTAAGATACAAGAAACTTGCCAGAAAATTCCTCATGGCTTGTTTTCCCTCCTAAAATTGGATGGATATTTGAAACAAAACCTGTGTGAGAGGAGTTTCACTCCTCAGTGTTCATTTAGGGATTAAAAAATCCTATTTTCACTTCAGCAGTTTAAAATCTGCTGATGCAAATCCCTCAACACAAATTTCCCAGCTCCAGGAGAGACCTGGACTAAGTGACCTGCAGCACTTGGAAAGAGGAGTTTAATCCAGTTTAACCCAAGTTTAAACTCAAGTTTCAACCTGGACAGACACAATTATTTTTGGATTGGAGTTGTTTTCTGTTCTGGTGGAATATGAAACTTCTTAACAATAAATTGCAGCTCTTTCATTAAACAAATGAACTTATGATTTCCAGAAAAATACCATTTTTTGCTATTTGTGGTAGGGGATCAAAGGATTGCAAAGATTTGCAGCCATCTGAAAAGTAGAAATTTATTTGTAAATTTTTCTATTTATTTCTAAGTAAATGTTTATTTCAAAAATGAATTTAATGTTAACATTTAGCTTTTTAATAGAAATATTATTATAAAGTAAGTTACGTTAGTATGAAATTATTGCAGAATCTTTTCCATATTCAACTTTTTACTTTTTTAATATTACTTCCTTCAGTGAGAGTATCATATTTTCTAGGACAAGATAAAAGTGCTGGCATGATGGAATGAAAATTGGGATTTTGTGCAATTTAGAGAGTTTGCCAGGCTGCTTGGTGGAAGAATGCAAGGAAATCTTAGTGGCTACTGTGTGGCACAGGAATGAACTCCTGATTTTCCCCTCTGCT